AATTTTGATGAATTGATGGTAGCACCTACGGGTCAATTATGTTTTGTCTATTATGCATGCAAAAGCTTGATGAATTTAGTGTAAAATTGTTATTTTCTTGAAGTAGTGTAAAAATAATTTTTTTAGAAAAAAGGTACTCGAAATATAAAATATTTAATTTTAAAAACAAATACCATGTGTCACGCCACATAGCATATATATTACCTGGAGTACTTCTTAAATGGGTTTGATTATGCGTGACTATAGTCAATGACGATCCATTACAATCTGTATATGTAATATCTAACATAAAATTATACTAATATTTATCTCATGAAAAAGTACAAATATTTTTGTACTTTTTTTGGCATGCGTTACAAATATATTTTTTTATTTTTTTATACATAACTTTTTAGAATAAAAGATTTGGTCCATAATGCCTTTCTTATGTATATTAAAATAAAAGTGTTGGTCCATAATGCCTTTCTTATGTATATTTTAATCCACTATAAAATTTTTATATTTTAATCATCATTAAAATACCATTGTCATCATCATTATTATTACTATTATTCAACATCACTCAGGGACAAAATTTTAATCGGTGTTCTTTATAAATGATAGTTTTTCAAAAATAAAAGCTTTGGGTTACTTATGAAGCATATTTACTAATCATTATATAAATCCTTATTTTGAAAAAAGTAAAAATTGAAAGTGGTGGGTAGTTTTACAAATTTACATAAAAATAAATTTATCTTGTCCGATATTTTCAATAATAATTAAAATATTTGTAACTGCATATGTCCTTTTCCTTATTCCTTTAAATATTTTCCATGTTAGTGAATATATATTTATATGAAACTCCACATGAAATTTCCCATTATTTTATAATTTATAAAAATATGTATGAATAATTTAATGAGTTACAAAAAATCATAAAAATATATTCATTTTTGCCATAGTTTTCCTCATTTAAAATTTAATAAATAATTTTATTTCTAAAATAATAAAGTAATTTTGTATATTAAGAGCTTTAATAAGGAAACTTCAATTCAATGCTCTTGTTGACACGGATGAGAAGGTGTTAACAAAATTGTCTAGTCAGCGTGCCAAATGTCGTAATTCTGGAAGCTCAACTCTCCTTTTTAATATATAAAGGATTCTGGCTTGTAAAAACTATGTTGATTGTATTATTGTAAATTTGTAATGGATAGTTGTGATTTATGCATAGAAAAAGAATTGTCTATATTTGTGCTCCTCGATGCATTGCAGTTGTGGATGGCTATTTCACATATATAGTTGTGGATGGCTATTTTGATTAGACGGACAACACAAAAATAATGACTATGAATGTAGACTAAGATTCTGACGGGAGACCACATCTGTTGACTATGGTTGTACTATAAAGCGATTGTAATTCACAAACGATGCATCATGAGCGGTTTTTGGGATTGTGCATGACAAGAAAAATATATTATCATTGTGAAATTACACTTTTAGCCTTCAAATTAATACTAACATGATGGAATATCAAAAAAGACTATTTATGGAAAGATAAGGACCATCGAGATAATATTTGATAATATAAGATTAAATAGTGAAACTCTCATGTTAGAAAAGATCAATAATAGAATTTACACATTTAATTTATTTAAACTTGTTAAATAATAGACATTTTAATTTGGGGAGAGTATAACATTCCTTCCCTAAGGTGTCACAATTAAGATATGTCATGATTTTGACAAAGCTTTCGTTTTTGATACCTACCAAAAAAAGTCTTAAAAAAATTTTAAAAAAATTAATTTCACTAATGATAAATTTATAAAAAATTGTCTTGAAATTGGCGTGGGCTACCAAAGAAATTACTGCGTAAAAGGGAACAAATAAAATTCAAACAATAAAAAAACTGGAGCATAAACCGAATCGGGTTTCAACCTGTCTCTTCTTCCTCAGAAGAGCTAAATAACGCTATGGTTTCTATTGTGGGTTCAGCTCCTCTCAGCTTCTGCATCCGCGATAATGGCGCTTCTTCTTCTTCTTCAACATGTCACTCCACATCGAGGAAACCATCCGATTCGTATTGTTCTTTTAGTTTCAGTAGAAAGGAATTCAATAGAAGAATGGTTTTTGCTTGTGTGGCGCCTCCTCAAGGGGCAAATGAATTTTATTCTTCTAATTTCAATGTAAGTTTCACAGTTTTTTAGTTACTTTTCGCTCGAGCTGAGTATAGAACATTCTCAATTTTGGGATCCAATCTATTCTTGGTTATTTCTGTGTGTCGTGTGATCAATTGCAAGTTTTAGCTTTATATGTTTCGGAATTGTGTTGGGTGTTTTTATGGAATCCAGGTCATTCAGAACCCCATCTATCCTATTTCAGTAATTTTATCTATCCCTTATTAAATCTATGGCTGGATTAATGATCACACTTTCTTCAATTCTAGGGTTCAATTAAACCTGAGAAGCTGAGCTTGGTAGGGGAGCCTGGTGATGGGTCTGACGTGCTGATTGAGTGCAGAAATATATACAAGTCATTTGGTGAAAAGCACATTTTAAGAGGTGTGAGCTTCAAGGTGAATTTTCTCTACGGGTTTCATACCATTATTTCAGCACACCTTTGTAGGCCATATGAAAATGCTTGAAGTTCATGTTGCGACAAAGCTATTGGTTCCGAATCTCATTTAGGAAGGAAAAAAAGTGCATATTCATCTAGTAATTTATTTAATATGTATTCATTTTCTGACCCAATCTTAGAAAGAGTAACTAACGTATAATGCTTGCTGATCCTCTTGTTCAAGTAGTCAATTAATATGCATGAGAGTGTTGTATCGGATTTTCCCTATAAAGATCTCCTTTGCCATCCCTGATTTTGTTAGGTTAAACATGTTATCATAATTCGCCACCATGTGAGTAAGGAGATGGTGACCCCTCTACACAATAAACACCGGTGTTAATTTATGTGGAGTTACCGGACCAACTTCATGCGATGCAGTATCCCATACAATTATCTTGTCGATTTTCTCTAACAACGTCTCATTTGTAAAATTCTTAGAATTCCTAAATATAAATGGACTGGGCAAAAACCCCCGAAGGTAAAATTCCCAAATATATTTAGCATTGCAATGGATAAAATCATAAGAGAACTATGGTATGCGATATGTAAAAAATGAGCAGCAGGTTGATGAGACAAGATATTTTGCTTACTTGTAATCCTTAAGATTGGGAGATGGAAATAGCTTTCTTTGGTAAAGCTGTACAAGGGCAAGCAGGTGCTGTGTGTCACTGCTCAAATGGCCCCTCATTAAGTACTTTTTACAAGATGCTAAGACGAAACCTATGTGGACATTTCAAATCAAATTTGCTTGTCACTAACTGTGGAAATTCAAAGCTTCATTGAGAAGATTCTTACTTTGGGACGAAGCTCTTTTAGTGTTAATTCACAATTCTAACATGTGATAATCATTTCACCCATTCTTACTCTTAAGTCTTATTTTTTTGAAATGATTTCACACAGTTGGTTTCACTTGAGAGACAATATTGAAACTGCATTACACAGCTTTTTCTTAAAAGTTGTGCTGGAAAAAAAATGGCCCTATAACTTGGGACTGAAGGAGCATAAAGCAAGATATCTGAAAGTCTTAATTTATAATGATCACCATCATCATTTGTCTTATTTTAGCCACCATGTGCATCCTCCTTAGATACGTCTTGGAGAGGCTGTTGGCCATCATCATTTGTCTTATTTTAGCCACCATGTGCATCCTCCTTAGATACGTCTTGGAGAGGCTGTTGGAATAATTGGGCCTTCAGGGACTGGGAAATCTACGATCCTAAAAATAATGGCAGGGCTTCTTGCTCCAGATAAGGTACTACTTCTCAAATTCGAGAGGGTCATATTATAACAGACATGTTCTATTTCTTTTAGGGACGGTAATGTTTCTCATTTTTTGTACTTTCATTTGTTAAACAGGGTGAGGTGTTAATCCGAGGTAGAAGACGCCATGGACTTATCAGTGATGAGGAAATATCTGGTCTCCGGATTGGCTTAGTGAGTAATTTTTTTTCTTTTCTTTCGTTTTGCATAGGATTTAGTTGTTTAATTTCATGTACTTATTGACTCCCTCCGTCCCAAATTATGAGGGTTGTTTGGATTATGAGGCTTGGAAAAGGTTGTTAAAATTGTATTGTTGAATCAAATCATTGGATGGAATCATAAATAGTAAGATTTCTCATAATGTGTATTAGTTTAGAATCGTAAAGCAGTCTCCGTATTATTCTTCCAATTTGTGATTTTGCATGCGATTTGAATTGATTTGTTGCGTTAGAATCTTAAAATCATACTCCCTCCTTCCCAAATTGATTTACACTTGTACTATTTGAGCCTCATGGTAAATTTTATTTACTTGTGCATTTTCATTAGTCATTTGATAAAATAAAATATTCCTGTAGCAACTTGTTTTGTAGAACTTTTGAAATAGTTTTAAATATGTAATTTGTACTTTTAATTTCTATACCAATTTATAGATAAAATTATTTTTAAAAAGATGGAATTTTACTTGTTAAAAGGGTGTAAATGAATTTGGGATGGAGGGAGTATGATTTTACAATTTGAATTGTGATATTAACAACCTTGGGATGGAATGAAGTTCGTATTAATTTCATGTAGTAATACTTCATTTTGCACTAGTACATATTCAAAAACTAAACTAAAATTGTATGATTAAACAACAACAACAACAACAACCCAGTTAAATCCCACAAGAGTAGGGTCTGGGGAGGGTGTGTGTACGCAGACCTTACCCCTACTCGAAAGTAGAGAGGCTGTTTCCAAAGAGACCCCCGGCTCAACGTCGAAAGTTGCATTGTTTGACTAACTGCTACTTCATTAATTAAAGAAGCGCAGACAGTTTAGACTTTAGAGATCCATTTTGATTTATTCCATCACACCCCAAAGCCAAAAATGGTGATATTTTGGCTCCATCGGAGATGATGGAAAAAAAAAATTGTATGATTAAATTTAAAAGAAATTGAATTTGGTAATGACAAATTTTTTATGTAGAAATTATGAGAGTTGGTGGTTGACCATATGAGTAGCCAAAAGGAAAATTCAAATGGGAATGAGGGATCAGTACATTATAATTGTCTATCTTTGAGCATATATTGTTGTTGTTGTTGTTATTATTATTATTATTTATGCTTTTCGCATAAACAGGTGTTTCAGAGTGCAGCACTTTTTGACTCCATGACAGTTCGAGAAAATGTTGGTTTCCTTTTGTAAGTCACTTCTGCTGAGGTTTCTGAACTCGCATTAATATCTAAAGCACTGAAAATCATGCATATATCTCTAAAGTGTTTTATCTCTTACCCTCGTTCTCTTTTTTAATCTAAAGGTATGAGAATTCTACTATGCCCGAGGATAAAATTTCTCAGCTAGTGGCTGAGACCTTAGCTGCTGTTGGGTTGAAGGTATAGTAAAATGATTTTTATTTTATTTTATCACTTATATTTATTTTTTCAACTTAATGCTTTTATTTCACTTTTTAGTTGGTTGTTTTTTGTATGGAATAACTAAATGTTTGAGCAGGGTGTAGAAAACCGGCTACCCGCTGAATTGTCTGGTGGAATGAAGAAAAGAGTTGCTCTTGCTCGTTCTATAATTTTTGATACAACAAAGAACATTGTTGAGCCAGAGGTGATTTTGTGCTTTACATTTTTTTCATCCACCTTAGCTGCCATAATTTGACTTCTGCAAAAAAAAAAAAAGAATGCCCCCCCCCAAAAAAAATCATATTTTCTTAACGCAAATACGCAATCTTTGTTGTATTGCTCTTTTTTGTCTTAGTGTATCAAGGTCTCGTTTTGTTTGATTTGGCATCCGTAATTGAATTATAGAGAATTTAAATACTAAAACTTTGATAAAATCATGTGTGATATTTTGAGAACTCACCCAATTCCCGGTAATGGGAAGTCAATCCAAGGTCCAGATGTCCATTTTGCTTGTATTGGTCCATGTTTGTATCAACATTTAACCTTGTGTACTTACCTATGGGATTTATTGCAATGTAATATCTCAGAGATGATATTAAAAAACAAATTTGATGAGTTTCTATTTCAAGGGTTTCATTTTTAGACAGCCTTTTGAGTTGATGTGCTTGTTAAGTTTGTACTTTGTAATGACTTCATTTTGGTTTAAGGTCCCTTGTGATCTCAGGAATACTAGGGAAAGAAATTAGGAGTAGGAATATTGGAAGGGAAGGAAATGTGGGGAAAAAGAATAGATAGGCTGAAATCAGTAAGTGTTTTTTAGTTATTTGTTGATAGCATGTTATGTATGTTTATTATATACGTAGTAAAAAGTTAGAAATCTGAATGTGTGAAAAATTAAAGAAAAAATCACATTTAATTTTTGTTAATAAATGGATGATGAAAAATGGCAAATCCCAATGTTGATTGGTTAATGGCAGGTGCTTTTATATGATGAACCAACAGCTGGACTTGATCCGATTGCTTCAACTGTTGTGGAAGATCTGATCCGATCCGTTCATATGAAAGGTGAGGATGCCCTTGGGACGCCTGGGAAGATTGCATCCTATGTTGTGGTCACTCATCAACACAGTACCATTAGAAGAGCGGTAGACAGGTTTTGATTTCTTTCTCCTTCATTCTTTCTTCGAAACATTGCTTGTTGGATTTGGTTCATTCCAAGACCTCCAACCACAAGCTTGAGCTTGTGGTTAAATTGGTTTCTTGACATGGTATCAGAGTCTTCCATGCTCAGAGGTCACGAGTTCAAATCTCACTGTCACCGCACCCACTTAAGTTTTTTTTTAACATCCACGCGCAAAGCTCGAATAAACCCTATTGTTAAAAAAAATGAAGTGTATTATGATCTCTGGCTCAAAAAGGAAAGGGTATGTGTAGGCTATTGTTTCTTCACGAAGGAAGGGTTGTTTGGCAAGGAATGACTCACGAGTTCTCGTCATCAACAAACCCTATTGTTCAACAGGTAATTATACTAATCAATTCGTTCACTTCATCAAGAGTTTGGGACAGAATGTTACTAGTGCTGTTTCGTTTCCCAGTTTGCATCGGGGAGCTTAGATGGACCAATCAAATACCATTAGCCACTCTGAAGAACCATAGACTATCTTATCGTTGATGTTGCTTGATTCCACACTTTTGCAAATATGACCACCATACCTTGTGAAGAGTTAGTTCATTACACAAGAAGAAGATGAAGATGAAGAAGAAGAAGAGGTACGTGTTTTTTTTTGTAGTCATGGTGATGAATCATTTCGCCGTGCTACCATTGATCAAACTGCCAAAATGTATGTTTGGTAAATAGCGCATTTGTTTAGCTGTTATGCCCGAAACATTAAAAGCGTGCAACAAGCTTATCCTTAAAACCGGATTTCCAACATTCTCTTTTGCAACTACAAGTGATGAGGGGACTCTAATTGAGTTTATTTTAGCAACTGGAGCAAAAGTTTTTTTTTTATATATATACAATAATCGATCCCATAAGTCTGAGTGATAGATTCCTCGATCAATTGTATCAATTTCTTGCCCATTTAGGTCCGTAGCCTTATGGGAAGAAATTCATTGTCGTGTACCAAAAGTGGAAAATGAAAGTTGGGTTTGATTTTTACATACTCAACTTATTTGTGACACTTTTTTTAATGAAAAATGTTAAATGTGACGTAGGTCATGTTCTCTTCAATTTATTTTGACTACTTATTACTTTTTCATATTGAATTCAGACTACATCATATCAACTCAGAAACAAATCAACAATATTAAGTATAATTACTTTCAAATTAGATGAGATCAGATCACAACTTATTCAAGTTAGATCAAAATCATTCACATTAGGTGAAGAGAACATGGCTATAAAATAGCTTCTCTTACATTCAAATCGACTATTTTGGACAAAATTATGCTTGGAAATGTGTCTTTTTTTGTGGGAGTAAATTAATAAGTGGACGTGAGGTTCACATAATTATTCATGGACCTTGATAAATATATAAGCATTTTTTATAATGTCACGATTAACATTTGCTCCGTATTTAATTTGTTTGTTCTAATAATTTGTTTATGATAGGTAGTCAATCGCAATATATGTACGATGTTTTTTGTACATCCACGACGAGTACTTATTTACGACTAACTAATCACTCATTATCAAGGAAATGCTCATTTTCGAGTAACTACATACTTATTTTTTAAAAAATTTATTATGCTTGAAAATGAGTATCGGTTACTCGAAAATGAATATACTCTGTTACTTAAAAATGAATATTCATGTAGATATACAAAAAATACCGTACATCAAGATCTATGGTATAGGTACTCTTAGTCAATGCATTCTAATATGTAGGTAAGATACACAATAGAAGAATTCTTTTGTGGCATTAAGAGTACCCATTTGAAAAAAGTGTTGCTATATCCACTTTCATTAGGGTTAAATTAATTCCATTTGTGTAAAATAGATAAATTTATTCTTAAAAGTTGGCTAACATCTCTTAATAATATTCTTTCTATGTATGTTTAAGGATAAGATTATTCATTTAGCTATAAATAGAGTAGATATAACCATAATAAGGGTGAATATAGTCACACTGAAAAATCAAGAGCAATACATGCAACTAATTATTAACATAGAAGAATTTATTGTGCACCTTGGGTACACACGAACTTTCTTATATACCCCGAGTAAAATGAAAAATAATGTTTTTCTACTTACTCTAGCTGGGAATATTCTTCCTGTGAATTATTCACGTAATCAAATTTTATTTACTTTGTTTTATTATTTGTACTATTCATTTTATTTTACCGGGAGTATAACATATTCATGTCACTTTTATTTTTGTAAATTTTTAAATATATAATCCGTATATTTTGTTTTCAAATTTTACACCGACAACAAAAGAAATTGAATTGAACATAAAATCGATTAAACTTTCGCCAAACACTTTGAGAGGGAGGGAGTAATCATATTACAAGATCCACGTCCCTCTTAGGTATATATATTATCAAGTACGGAGTACTTTGGTATACATGAACCTTCTATATAAAAGAAATTTATAAATATTGAATGAATATTTATTAATCACATTTAGATCTCTCAATGAGTCAAGTTCGGCCAGTCTTGACTCTTGATACTCGTACCCTTTAAAAAAATTATATCTTGACTCATACCCGTTTTTACCCGACGGATCTTGAAGTTTTCTACTAGATTTGAGTCAATATAGAACAAATTTTATTTCAAACGTTATGGTATAATTTTAATTTTTTAATTTATTTATATATATAGATATTGAAAGTCTATCGAGAAAAATTAAAATGGACATATAAAAAAGAATGAAGGAAGTACGTCTGTCACAATATTTTTCTTTTCCTGAAATATATTTATCCGTACATGTTTCTGAGATAAAATGAAAAGAAAAGGGATAACTTTTTAGAGGCTCATAGAATCTTCGTTTTACTTTTTTTACGTAGAAATTAGACTATTGGAAAGGAGTAAAAACGAGTGTAAACATAGAGGATGAGCCCTTTTACAAGAGGTGCATGAGAATTGAGAACCAGCACTTTGGATGAGGTAAATTGAGTTATAATCACAAACAGGTTGGCAAATGGTGAAACATGCACTCGATACTTGCATAAGTCTTACACTTAATTTAGTTGCTTCCAAGTATAGTTGCCAAGAAATGAATTTGGATCTAACTCCTTTGGCACTCCTTATTAAACGAGCTGGACTACGCCCACGTAACGACAACAACAACAATAACCTAGTGGAGTTCTACAGTAAGAGAGTAAAAATATTGTAAGAAAAACGAGAAAAAACCTGCTAGCAATCTACCATTAAAATCTAATTTACCATATTTTTTAGAAAACTAGGAAGAAGCCAGGAATAGACCTCACATCCAAAGGAGAAGAAGTACTCCTCCAGCACAGATTTCAAGAGAGAAAAGGAGAGAAGCTTCACCGTGTGAGCGTTGAAAGAACAGGGAGCACGGCCGTGACGTTACGTTACTTGCGTAGTTCCATCGTCATCTAGCCCTCTGGGTATATTTACCCCTGCAAATGGTTCCACCCATCTTCATCTTTCTCAGCTAATTAACCAATAGAGGATATAGAATCGCAACTCGCAGGAAAGAAAGAAAGCCCCATTTGTTCAAAAATCGTGTCTTTTGCTTTCTTTCCTCTCTTGGGTGGGGAAGGTCGTGTGCTTATTATCGGCGGATCTTCAGATTTGGGGATTTGGGGTTTGCTGAGAATGTGGGGTTTGGGCGGGAAACACTATTGGGGGAGGAAGGAGGGATCAGAAGGCAAAGTGGAAGGGATAGTGGTGGTGTTTGCGTGGATGTTCAGTGAACCCAATCACTTGAAGAAATATGTCGACTTCTACTCATCTCTGGGCTGGAATTCCCTCGTTTGCCACTCCCAGTTTCTCAATATGTATTCCTCTCTCCCTTTCCACTTTTACTTCTTCTTCTTCTCCTTCCTTTTTGCTCATTGTGATGCCCAAATGCTTGAAAATTCATCTTCTTGACTTCTGTTGGATCGTGACGTAATTCAGAGTTTATTTACTCTACATTTTTAACTGCTTCTTCTTCCTTTTTGCTTATGGTGATGTTGGAATCTCTGAATATTCATGTTCTTGAACACTGTTGGATCAAACCCACAGTTCATTGATTGGTTATTGGCTGCTAGGGTGCTAGAATTGGAGTTTAAGTCTCGATTTCTTTTAGGCCAGGTTCTTTTCGCCCTAATTTTGGACCAGAGTCTAGATTTTATGGGGTGTATGTTTGTAAAATGGATGGTGCTTTTCAACATTAAGTTAATGTGGTGAAGTATTTGATCTTCCTATTGCCTGCTCACATAGTCTGGTTTATAACTTTCACAGGTTTTTTCCTGATAAAGCCGCAGCCCTGGCGTTAGAAATTGTAAACGAGCTTCTTGAGGAGCTAAAAGCCAGGCCATGCCCTGTGGTCTTTGCATCTTTCTCCGGCGGCCCAAAAGCCTGCGCGTACAAGGCTCTTCAGGCAAGCGACATTCCTCGCGCGCAGAGGATAACATATATTTGAAGTAAATCCAACTGAGCACTGTTCATATCTAACTTGGGAAATGTCTTTTGCAGATAATTGATGGCAAATGTGAGGAGTACTGCAATTTGGTATTCCCTATAATTTCATCCATTGAATGAGGATTATGGCAAATGCTGAGGCACTTCTATTATTCTCAATTTCTCATAATAGAGTACAATATTTCTTTGCAGGGAGGAGAATACAGTCTAGTCCGCGACTGTGTTTCTGGACATATATTTGATTCTTCCCCAGTAGACTTCACTAGTGACATGGGTACTCGGTTTCTCCTTAGCCCAGCCTTTTTCAGCACGGCTCGTCCTCCACCCTTTGTCAGATGGTTGGCCCATGGCTTTGCTTCCAGTCTAGACTCACTCTTTCTCAGCAATTTTGAAGCACAACGTGCTAATCTATGGCAAACTCTATATGCTTCCGTGGTAATATAATTATTCCAAAACCATTATAAAAACTTTTATTTTGGGCCTGCAACTATAAGCTTGAACTTGTGGTTGAGTTGGTTCTTTTACACGTTCTTATCAACTTCTGCTCTTGGTTTTTGTGGTCACTTTCTAGTTGCAATTCGCGTTTTTGCAGAGCATTGGAGCGCCTTATCTCATTCTATGCTCAGAAGATGATGACATTGCTCCATGTCAAACTATTCGCAATTTCGCTCAGCGGCTGAAAGATTTGGGGGGCGATGTTAAACTCATAACATGGACTAGCTCTCCCCATGTTGGTATATAAAAATTCCTTTTTTTTCCCAAAGAAATTAACCACAATACTCTTCAACAATTGCACAGATCCCCCCTGAACTTTAAAAATTGCACCAATGGTTCCTAAACTTTTAAAAACGTTGCATCAATGGTCCCTCTTAAGAGTGTGTTAGTCACACATTCATCAATATACCTGTTGGAGCTTGATAAAGATTTATTGGCCAACTTTTGCAGGTCACTATCGCCATCATCCCAAAGAATACAAGGAGGCAGTAACTGAGGTTTTGTCAAAATCCTCTTTTGTCTATTCCAAACGAACTTGTCAAGTCAAAAATGAGAAGACGACGACCATGGAACACAGCAACTGCAAAAACTATGGGCAACCCAGAGAAAGAGAAGGGGGAGATCTTTGGGCAGAAGGGGGTGGTGATGATCAAAATGTTCCAAACATTTCCACCCGGACGAGAATCAATGGCCATGGAGTGCTTGGGGAGATTCTGTCTGATGTTTGTGTGCCGAAGAACGTGGAGGGGTGGGACATGAGCATGGGACCAAGGCATTCCCCACGTTTGAGCCTTGCAAAGAGTGTTCGTCGTTCCAGATTATGATATTGTTCTTCTGAGTTGGGCTTTAAGGTTGGGGGAAATGCTTGAGTGCTGGTTTTATGAGTATTTTTCAGTTTTTTTTATACACGATTCGTCTTTTTTATCGTAAAATTGTGCTAAATACAGAGAAGTTCAAGACCCAAATAGCAAATAAACAGTTGCAACTTTTGATTTTCATGTCTGGTTTATGAATCTGATTATGGATGTGAAGTCTTAGGAATGATTATTAATGATAATGAAGATTGTACCATAAAGTTGAACTAGAATCGTACCGTATTGAACTTTAATGGTATTGAATCGTTTGACGTGTTTTCGTAAATGAGATTTGTTATTTTCATTCCAAACTGGTTTTGAATTGTTATCAAATGGGATAGAATCAAAATACGAAATCTTGAAATAATTTATCCCAAACTAAATTGTTTGAAGTTCAATGCACTGCGAAGTACTGCGTATTCTTTTGTACTCCCTCCGTTTTTTAAAACACTTCCTCTTTCATTTTTTTTACTTCCAACAAAACACTTCCACTTTCTATTAAAAAACCACTTTTACCCTTACTTTTTCATACCTTACCTATCACATCATACTTTATATCTAATAATCTATCCATCACATCTTACTTTTACCTATCACATCAAGGGCAAAATTGGAAATCAACTACAATTTAATACTTCCTTATTTTTACACAAAGTCAAAATAGGAACACTTTTTCCAAACGGAGGAAGTATATTTTATCTTACTCCGTATTATATTACTCCGGGGTATGTTTGGTTGAACGTAAGTGACAAAACAAAGTAAAATATCAAATTTAAGGCAAAACTACGTAAAATATCAAAAAAATTTCATTTCATTTTATGTAAAGATTGATTTACAAATTAAAAATAATTTGCATTTTTATATAATATATTTAAAGTTTTACCAAATAAGACATGCCAATAATATTTTATTTTATCAAATACAGTAATAAATTAAAAAATAAAAATAAACCAGTTTCTAGTGATTTTTTATAGGAAAGAATGGTTGAAATTATTAAGTCAATAATTCCACGTTGACAATGTAATCCAGAGGCAAAATCCATCCTAAACTTTCATGTCGGATTTCCTGCCGAGCAGAATGAGGAAGAAGGTGTTGGTGACAGGCGCTTCGGGCTATTTAGGCGGCCGCCTCTGTCACGCTCTCCTGAATCACGGCCACCGCGTCACGGCATTCGTCCGACCAACTAGCGACCTCTCCTGCCTGCCTCCGCCAACTTACGCCGGCAGTGGCGGCGGAACTTTCGAAATCGCTTTGGGAGACGTCACCGATTACCAATCGCTCTCGGAAGCCTGCTCCGGTTGCAGCGTCATCTTCCACGCCGCAGCCCTAGTTGAGCCCTGGCTTCCGGATCCATCTAGATTCTTCACCGTATTCCTACTCCAAAGTGATTGATTTGCTCTGTTAATGATGAAGTTCAACTTTGTAATTTGAGATTTTTCTTATTATTCGTTATGCTTCAATTTTTTTAGGTTAATGTTGGAGGATTGAGAAATGTTATACAAGCTTGGAAATCAACAGGATCTGTAGAGAAAATCATATACACGTCCTCGTTTTTTGCGCTTGGATCAACAGATGGATATGTTGCAGATGAAACTCAAGTATGGTACTCCTTCCGTCCCAAATTAATCAATTTTTCCGTTTGCTTTTTCACGTAGTTTATGAAAAGTAAGATTGTTTGATTAAGATTTATGGAAATGAAAAGGATCAATATGGACCACTTATTCCATTCTGTTTATAAGGAATAAGAAGCTTATTTGGAGACAACCCAAAAAAGAAAGTAGGAAGATTAATTTGGGACAGAGGGAGTATTACAATAACTCAAACTCTCAAAGTGCGGCGATTACTCAATTGAACTGAAGTGAAAGTTATTTTTAATATTAACTGAAAAAACTGAAAAGGGCTGAAATGAATTGAACCAAAACTAGTGAACTGAATTGAATTGAAAGAGACTGAAAATAAGTTGAAAAGAACATATCTGTAGTCAATGAGTGTGATTCAATTTTATCGCCTCTTCGTTGATTACTTATTATAACTTGTAAACAATTTGTTCAGACACATTCTGGAAAATTCTTCTGTACGGAGTATGAGAAATCTAAAGCAATTGCGGATAAGATTGCATTAGAAGCTGCAGCTGAAGGGGTGCCTATAATCGCTGTTTATCCCGGTGTAGTATACGGTGCTGGAAAGATCACGGCTGGAAATATCTTTGCTCGCCTGGTAATTTTTTTAATCATTAGCACTTAGCATGCAATAAATTGACTGTCTACTTTGATTGAGTAGGCACACAACAGAAATTTTGGATTGATTTTGAAATTGCGTGGTGATAAAAGTTTCATAAAACATTATGCAATTCTATCACTTTTTCTGCTCAAAGTTACTCCAAAGATTTTAGTTTTGAGTTGTACTTTCGCTAGTTTGAGTAATACTTTTGGGTTTAAAGTCATCACTTCTGTAAAAAAAGCATTTCGAAAAATTGAAAGGCTTGAAAAGTTATGTGTAGTACTTGGTCCAAAGGTATTAATTATGAGCCAAAAAGTTATAGGATGTTTGATGCAAGTGTTGCTATAGAACTTACGGAGCATATGCATTTTTAGACACTCTAGTGTTCAAGAGTTTCTTTCTGGAAAATGAAGTTAATAGAGTGGTACTAGTCGCCAAGGGCCTTGGAGTGCAATTGAATAAACTTGAGAGATGTGACTTTATATAAGAGATCTCAAGCTCAATCCCATTTTCTTCCCTTAGGTGTTGGAACACTTGTTGATTATTACATCTAGCGTATTTTTTGCTCCAATTTGTTTCATAGATGATAATAAGATGCATTATAATCATCATCATGATCTAAAAAAAGCTGAAGAACTTGGCATTGACTTTGCTCTATGTTCTTTTGTTAGACATATAAAATCTTTCATATATGTTGTGGCAGATAATAGAGCGGTTTAATGGGCGCTTACCTGGTTACATAGGCCAAGGAAATGACAGGTATTCCTTCAGCCACGTGGATGATGTCGTGCATGGGCACATTGCCGTCATGGATAAGGGTCGCCTTGGGGAACGATATCTTCTCACGGGAGAAAATGCTTCCTTCAAAGATGTTTTTGACTTGGCCGCGGAAATCACTCACACAAAGAAACCTTGTTTTGCTATCCCATTAGCTATTCTTGAAGTCTATGGTTGGGTATCAGTTTTCTTCTCCAGGATAACAGGGAAGCTTCCTTTGATTAGCCCACCAGTAAGAAATCTATCTATATAATTTTCAATTTTTTTCTTTTAATATGCACATCATTGAATGATCCTTGTACATGCCTTGGTTGGAACAGGCAGTCCAAGCTCTAAGGCATCAGTGGGCTTATTCATGTGAGAAGGCTAAGGCAGAGTTGGATTACAACCCCAGAAGCTTAACACAAGGATTGACAGAGGTACTCCTCTGGTTAAAGAATTTGGAATTGATTGGGTACTGATATAAATATAATGGATTAAGCTATTTCATTGTACACCAAAATTTATACCCCAAAGGCATGCATCCACATTTTGTGATAGTTTGATGTTAGTGTGATGATTTGCATTGTCAGTGCAAATTTTATTAATTGAATTAACATTTTTTGTCAGTGTGAACCGTTAAAATGTCGGTACATTTTTTGAAGTACAATTTGGGTATACTTTTAGTGTATCTCTAGCATGGTTAAATATAATTGTGTTGAATGTGTGGACTATTTCACTCTCTTAAAAGTTACTCGGTAAAACAATGCTTTGTACTCCACAAACAAATAATCTCCACCAAATGACATCATCATTCTGTAAAGCGAAACTTTTGGCACCGTAAATCACGGTTAGTCAACGTGAATGTAGACTTTATTCTCTCAAAGGTTCAGAGCTCCGCAGTTTTATAGTTTTGACTTTCATAACAACAACCATTTTTAGACTACTCTTCCCGTTTTAGAATTTATTACCAGTCCCAAAGTGTTTTACACTTTACGCAAAATGAAGTTAATTTTAAAGTTTTTTATTTAAAATTTAGTATAGAAATTAAAAAACATAACTTACATATTTAAACACTACGTCAAACGTACCTTCCGATCTTAAAATCTCTTCATGTTTTGACTTTTTTAGTCAAACTGTGACACTCTTTGACCATAAATGTTATAAAAATATGATATATCAAAACTATATTTTAAGATGAACTTAATTATATTAAATTTATATTATAATTCAATATAATTTTCTTACAATTTATGGTCAAATAGTATCAATGTTTGACCAAAAAAGTCAAAATAGAAAAAGTTTTTAGAAGCGGATGGAGTACAAAATTACATGTGACAAAATATTTTATTTATCAAATAATCAATTAAAACACACAAATAAACAAAATTTCATGACTTTTAACTAGTGAATATGTTAACTCTTTTTACGATGGAAAGAGCAATTTTCTAAAACATTGTTATTTAAATAATACTCCGTAGTATAAAAATAAAAGTTACATATAAAAAATTATGTCAAATTTGTACAGTCTCTGTCTAAAGAAGGACTAGTTTGACTTTTTTTATTAAACTATAGAACACTTTAACTATACATTAAAGATAGTTATAAATAATTAAATGTTAGTCGTATAACAATTTGATAGGTCAAAACTATATTTTAAAATAAGAGTGCTTCTATGGTGCACCTTGGGTGCATACCATTTTGTGAACCTTCTTACTTAAAAAATCTTTTATTTCTAAATTTTTTAATTAAAAAAAAATAGATGCTTAATTATTTAAGTAGTAAGAGGTGCATACCATTTTGTGAACCTTCTTACTTAAAAAAAATCTTTTATTTCTAAATTTTTTAATTAAAAAAACAGATGCTTAATTATTTAAGTAGTAAGAAAATACTTATTTTGCTCATATTTAAGTCTATGGTGGACCTTAGATCTCCTCTAACACGGTTTGACAGAAAAAGTCAAATACACCCTCCATCCCAAATTGGATTATAATCTTTTTGGGGTCTATCCTAGTTTATTTTTGATTATTTGTGTATTTTAATTAATTATTTGATAAAATAAAATATTCTTGTCATCTCTTATTTTGTAGTGCTTTCGACATAGTTTATAATACACCGCATGTAAATTTTATTAATTATTTTTTTACCAATTTTAAAATAATTGATTTTAAAAATGTGAGATTTTGCTTTGCAAATGAAAAATTATAATCTAATTTCGGATAGAGTAAGTAATTAAATAAGAATTATCGAGAAGTTAAATATGATTGCAATTTTTTTTGGATAAACTAGTAAGCAAACTTTTAGTGAACTCACTAACATTGTTTGTGTTCTTCCTAGCACAACGCAACTCAATCTCAAAGTTTCAAAGTGCATCCAAATAGCACCAAATTAATTTTAGATGTGTGGCATGTCCTTTTTAATTTATTCAAAAAAAGTCAAACTCGTTCGATTTAATTTTACTCCGTATTACTTTTGATAGGTTGACACCCTATTATTCCAATGTCATATCAACCAAATTAGTTCAATGTGATTATGTTCAAAATTGTCTCCACCGCATTAGAATAGTGATTTAAAATTTGGTGATTTTTCTCAAAGTTTTGACGCGTAAAAGATAAAATAAAAATAATAATTTATAACAGACCAAATCAGGAATGTGAATTTTCTAACAAAAATAGTAACATACCAAGTGTGACAATTTGCGACAGCACTAGCACCACTTGAAAAGTTGGAATTATGTAGTCCCTTTGTCTTACAAAGTTTGGTACACTCTATGAAAAACATATAAAATCTTATTATTTTTTAAAATTATTTTATTTACAAATTATTATATAAATAATAACTACCAATTAAATCACTTTAAATTATAAAAAAAATAAAACAAGATGTGAAAAGAAAAGTTTATTTTATAAATTGATCAATGATAATATACGAACAAATACAGAGTATAATTTACTCCCTCCATCCCAAAAAGAATGCAATAGTTACTATTTCGGTCTCTCGATAACTTTTGTTTGTTGAGTGAGAGTAAATTTCACCAATGGTATCTGAACTTTAGCTAGAATTTCGAAGTAGTACCTAAACTTTAAATCCTTTCAAAAAAATCCCTGAATTTACATAATCCTTTCACTAAAAGTCCATTCGCCCGTTTATAGGTTAACTTTCGGTCATTTGGGCCAAATTAGAATTTTATATATTTTAAAATTTTCAATTTGACCCTATTTCTTTTGTTTTTTTTCTTCCGCTCCCCGCCGCTGTCACACCACCTCAAACTCGCCGGAAAATCATCCTGGTCCGATTTGGGTGGGACCAACGCCATTCTCTTCGTCTTGAGACGAGGATCAAGAATATCCAAACCATTTTGTCCAATTTGGCATGTAATTCCTCGAATTTAAATTTTTCTACTCGAAAAAACTCTAAAATCCGAAATTAGGTCCGAATGTAGGGTTTTTTCGAGGAGTTACAGGCCAAATTGGACAATGTAGGGTTCCACTCTTTAGCAAAGAGTGGACTTTTCACATTTTCCCAATGTAGACATTTCCTTCTTTGCTAAAGACCCACTCTTTTTATGTTATAAATGCACTTAGACCTATAAAATAGACATGTACTTTATGTCTACGGAAGAATTTGCCTTGTTTTTGTTTACTCGTTTTGTTTAATTTTAATATCGCATTCTATTTTGTAAAACTTTTAATGTACTTTTGAACAGTATAACTTCCACTATTTATTTTTCTATTTGTAAATAATACTCCCTCCGTCCTGGAGTATTCGTCCAGTTTTGACTTTTGGAACTGTTCATCTAAGCACTTTGACTTATCAAATTCTCTCAATGTGTAAGCCTAAATATAGTCATGTGTGATCTTGTTTGATTTGTCTTAACATATATATTATTAATATATAATTTCTATAATTTTTTAATATACAAATTACAAGATAAAATGGATTAAAGAAGTGTATTGGATGGTGTGTACAAATGAAAGTGGACAAATACTCTAGGATGGAGGTAGTATAATTTAAAAGAGACATACTCCGTATTTTAGACGTCATTAAACAATTTAGGAGGGAGTATAATGATGACAACAACAAGAGACATGGGACAGAGGATGTGATATCACCAGTGTCAAATTTGGTATTCCCTAACATGGGCTTCTTTTTTCTTAAAATTAGAAAGTGAAGTTTTATTTGAAAAGGAAGCCGGTGCATTAAAAAAAAAAGAAGGTAAAATGGGCGCCCTGGCGGGGCAAAAGGAAAATATCCACAAGGAAACAAATTTCTCCGACGTTTAAACGCTGGGATCCGCGTTTTCCCGACGACGACGACGATGATGATCCCAATCTGCTTCTGCTCATCCCTAATCCCCAACTCCCACCACATTTCTCGCACGCAATTCTGAAGTTTTTTGTTTTTACCGGGTAATTAATTCCCAACTCTGTTTCTTTATTCCCCATTTAATCATGCGCGAATTGCATTTCGAAACAATCTTCTCCCCCATAATTGCAACAGAGGAGGATCCCATGATATAGTTTGAAGAAATCTCGCTCGCTATTGATTTTCGTCTTTATTATCTTTAAATTTCTCGTTTGATTGAGCGATTAATATGTGCGCATGGTCTGCGATTATGCAATGGCATTCACTCCTTCAATGTTTATGTATGTGTTTTACAGGGTTTGGGTAGGGCTTCTTCTATGGTCTGAATCAAAGTGGAAGCTTGGGTCGGAAGACCTAATTAGGGAGAAAGGAGGTTAGATTTTTTTTTTTTATTTTTTTTCAATTGGTTCAAGAGGGAAGGAGGATGTCAAGAGGAGGTGAGAGTCAGACGGTGCCATTGTCGGTTTTGTTGAGGCGCGAGTCTGCCTCCGAGAAGATTGAAAACCCTGAGTTTTTTCATGGTGAAGCTAGCCAGAGCAAGAAAGGTGAGGATTTTGTGCTCGTCAAGACCGAATGCCAAAGGGTTCTTGGAGATGGGATCATAACTTTCTCTGTTTTCGCGGTATTTACGAATTGTTTCTTTCTATGACGCTATTGTAGTTTTTGTTGTTGTTATTACTATCATGTGCTTTAGCTTTTGTTGTTACTACCTCTCATGATCATATCTCTGCTGGCAGTCATGGTGTTCTGGTTTGGAATGTGGTATCTAAAACTTTCATCGCAATAGGTTTTTCCAATGTATGGAAATTATCATGAAAAAGTGATAGATTGAGATAGTTGAAATTGTCATGTTCATTACGAGGTTGACATTGTAAAATCAATATGCAAAATATGAAGCATGATGGACTGTTTAGGCTTATCTGTTAGACAAGCTTCCCATTTTTTGTAGTTTTAAGAAAGCCCCAAACCCATATTGATCCACGGGATACGTACTATAAAACAACCCTCTTGCTCTTTAAAAGATAGATTTACACATGCCCTTCTTTGGTTCCCTCGTATTTATAAAATAACCCTCTTGTTCTTTAAAAGATAGATTTACACATGCCCTCCTTTGGTTCCTTTTGCAAAGCGCACACACCCCATGTCCTTGAAAATTATCCACAAACAACGGATGCTTGTGAGATGTGAGCATGAAACATTGTTGTGGGTTCCTTCTGCAATGTATCTGCATACCTTTGTGAGGTGAACAAGAGCCGGACATGACTTTTGATTTGTTTCATAAGTGATGTTGACATTTGGTGTAATAGAAACAGATGAAGCATGACATGCAAGTAATATTGTTTGTGTAAGATACTAAAGAGAACCTTTTTGCGAGTTGATTCATATTATAAATAACGCATTACAAGCACTGGGGAACACAAAAACTGGCCAGTTTCTGATGAGAACGTACTTGCCTCTTATAGTCTTTTTTATTCATTGACATAGAGACCATAATCACGGTGGATTTCCTGGTCACATATTCGAACTCGTCCATAACGTCAATTTTCCACTCACCATGGTTTTATGCCATTTTAAAGAGCCATTTTGCTTTTTTCTATCATACCTCAAAGCAAACAAAATAGTGAATCTTTCGCTCCATTGGAGATGGTAGAAGAAGAGATGAGAATTAATGAAATACACTTAATTTATTTTCCCCATCAAATCGGGAATTAACAGTGCACTCTTCAACTAATGTATTTAACACATAGGAGGCATGCCAAAGTTTTGGTTATAAACCCATCTGAAGAAAAAATGGTCATTGTGTTAAAACACAAATTTTCATTTTCTAATATCTTATTTTGCCTTCTTTAAAATTATATATTGCTTAGATGGTTAGATATCTCTTCTGCAACAAAATATTGGATGTTGACAAATCAAATGACAACATCTTTGCAATGCTAATTGTTGTGCTTTGTTTGACATTATTCCAGCTATTTGATGGGCACAATGGGTCAATGGCTGCTATTTACTCTAAAGAGAATCTTTTGAATAACGTTTTGAGTGCCATTCCACCAGAGCTCAACAGAGATGAATGGATTTCAGCTTTGCCAAGGGCTCTTGTTGCGGGATTTGTGAAGACAGATAAAGATTTCCAAGAAGAAGGTGCTGTAAAACCTCTATATAGAATGCTCTGTTTAAGAATAACATCTATTTTATAGTAGTAAAATATTTTGGCCCTAACTATTATTTTTTGTGTACATATAAGTCTGTTCAGTTATAACCTGTCAATTAGAATAGAATTAGTTTTGTCAAAGGCTATTCTTATATAGAAGTAGTGAGGTTAAACCTAATCCCAAAAAACCATGAACCAGTATTGTTATAGAGATTATGTCTGAGAGTTTTAAGGCTGGTACCAGCCTCAATTGCTTTTCCCACGTCCTCTTGGGCAGTTGGGCTGCCTCTCATGAGTCTCATCCCCATCCCTTCAACCAACACCCTCTCCACCCTCTATAATGGCGCCGTGGCATCTCCAGTCTGTCATCTCTTACCTTATAAGTAAGAGACTCCAAATATGACTTACCATTCCCCAACCCCACGCGAGTGCTTTCCTACAAACCCTTCTTGGAATTTTTAGTATGCTGAGTTTGATATACTATTCTGCACATTTTCAGCGCGAACTTCAGGAACAACTGTCACATTTGTTATAATTGAAGGATGGGTAGTAACAGTTGCATCAGTAGGTGATTCTCGCTGCGTTCTTGAATCTGCGGAAGGGGGTATATATTATCTGTCAGCAGACCATAGACTTGAAGGCAATGAAGAAGAGTAAGATAGTCTTTGTATTTGATACAAAAATATGGCTGTAGCTCTTTGAGTAAGGTTTGAATCCCCTCTTTTTCTTAACTAAATAGGAGGGAACGCATTACTTCCAGTGGCGGAGAGGTTGGCCGGCTTAACACTGGTGGTGGAACGCAGGTACCATTCTTTTCCATATGAACTATACCCCTGAAAATTACTGATTGGCTCATATCATACTTTGTTTTTGTGTAGTCCAACTTAAATTTTAATCCACCCCCTAAAAGGAGGCTTTCAAAACTTATCTTTGTCCTGAAAAGTGTCCTATTCCAACGAAGGAAGCTATTTTCATTGAATTTTATGTAGTTTTTCCAAAAGAAAAGTGTTCCAAACAAGTTAGCTATATTGAGTTTAACTCTAAAAACAGAAATGGAAAAACTATATTTAGGATTGAATGATTGAAAATTTACAAGTTGTACCCAACCAAAATTTAAAAGGCAGCCTTGATGAAACTTGATTCTTGCTTCAGTAGGATTATTGTTTACCTATTTACTTGGAGTGAAATGGGTAGTGGTATTAAATACCATATCTATCAGTGTTAATAATTAGAAACTTTTTGTTCTTTGGACTGCAAAATTTAAATTTTTTATTTATCCTGTGATATCTTTTTTGTTATCGTCTCTTCTTTCTCTCTCACAAATACATCTGGATTGGAAAGCAGAAGTTACTATAAAAAGTTGTGATTTATTATTGTTTGGTTTCAATTCAAGATCGGTCCTCTGAGATGCTGGCCCGGTGGATTATGCCTTTCGAGATCCATTGGAGATATGGATGTTGGGGAGTTCATAGTTCCTGTCCCTCATGTAAAGCAAGTAAAGGTATGTTTAGTGCTTCTCCGTATTTGATTAGTAGACTTCACGCAAGACTGAATAATGTCAGGAAGATCGCGTGAGAATTTTTTTTTCTTTAAAAGTTATGAACATAAATTTACTACCCTGCGTCTTATCAAGTAATACAAGCACTTAGTATTTTTCTTTAAATTAAGTAGTACTCCGTAAGTTTTCAAAAAGTAGTACTCTGTAATACTTTAAATTTGCGTGTAAAAGTATTATTGTTTTGTCATAAGACAGTTTCGCCTAAGTTTTTGTAGGCATCCCATTTCTGTAGTCTTTGTTTGCTGTATTATGGGTGTCCCATTCCATGATTTTTTTTATAGAAAAAGCGCTATTTGGTCACCGTAAGCCCGCCTCACAATTTTGTGTAAAAGTACTATTTTCTTACATCTGCAAAGCTCTTCATGCTTGTATTATACTCCGTAACAATTAACAAAAGTACAAGTAATGCATTCTATATGAACGATTAACCTCTTTACCCAAAGTTGAATAAATGGTATTATCGTAAAAACTTTATTACAGAGTACAAGCTTTCCACATGATTATAATTCATACCTTAAAGTTTCTAAGTTATCTTAAAAAATACTTATAATTTCTAATTATTCTAAATTTCTGCATGTGCAGCTCTCATCAGCTGGCGGCAGGCTAATCATTGCAAGTGATGGTGTTTGGGATGCTTTATCTGCAGAAATGGCGTTTGACTGTTGCCGTGGTCTGCAACCAGATGCTGCAGCAGCACAAATTGTGAAAGTATGTACATATAACTTGGCCACCTGAATGTATTAAGTGAATAATTTCTATACTGCCTTCTAAAAGCCCATATTTCTCCAAACTTGCAGGAAGCTGTTCACCCTAAAGGGCTCCGAGACGACACTACATGCATTGTGATTGATTTACAACCTCCCGAGAAACCACCCCAACCACACCCCAAAAAAACAGCAAAGGGAGTGCTAAAGTCTATGTTTCGCAAAAAAAGTTCCGAATCTTCTTCTTATGCTGATAAAGAATATTGCGAACCAGATGTGGTGGAAGAACTGTTTGAGGAAGGATCTGCATTACTTGCTGATAGGTAATGCTTAGCACAATTACCTCCATAAAAGAATCTTCTCCTTTGTTCTTTGTTCTTCTTCATCTTCGCCATTTACAGAAGGTGTTTGTCTGCTTGTATTTTAGGTTGGATATGAGGTACCCAATCTGTAATATGTTTAAACTGTTTATGTGCGCTGTTTGCCAACTGGAGATTAAGCCCGGTGAGGGGGTTTCTATACACGCCGGATCATCGGATTCAAGAAATTCCCGGCCTTGGGATGGCCCATTTCTCTGTTCAAGCTGCCAAGAGAAGAGAGAAGCCATGGAAGGACTAAGACCCTCTGGAAGTAAGAAATTTTTGATAAATCTTCAAACTGACATACACAAAAAGCTCATTCCTTTCAAGAAACTCATGTGTTTCTATCTTACTATTTCCAGATGGTAGATACAGCAGTGGAAGTGACTAGAAACCACCACTTCCCTCATTTGCTAACAAATTGATTAACAGCTTTTATTACACTATTGGAAGGCTGACCAAATTCTCATCCCATTGGTGCTTATTGTGACATATATATATATACTCAAGAGCTTCATATAGTACATAAACAGACATCAGAGTATACGCATTCTCGACGAGTTCTTGTAAGTATTTGGAGATGTTTATGAGCTTGATAATAAATAGCACTTGGATTACATTAACTGGTGTTTTTCCCCTTTCTGTAGAGTTTAATGGTTGATGAGTGAACCATTTCAGTCTAAATCTGTCATGTGGGAAAGCTTTGTTAGGATTTGTGGGTTGGGTTTTTTTTCCTTAGAGTTTTATATGTTTCATATATGATCATAATGGTTCTTGTAGTTTTATTATTTTCTTGAATGTATAGATAAGGATACCTTTTGTAAGGAGTATTATATTAAAGTTTATTTATTCATGAAATAGTGAATCTTCTCTTATACAACTTGATAGGAAATGACATTGGGTTTCAGTTGAAATCAAATTTGAGACTATTATGTCCCAAAATAGGGTTATTAAATGACATTTTGGCAATGTCTTTTTCCCTTCCACTTATTTTCTCATTTCTACCTTTGCCTCTCACCCTTTAGATTACACATTAGTACTCAGTTTTCTTAGAAGAAAAATATTACCAATAATAAAGATACCCACTGTTGTAGAATAAAATTTTGGGTTTTCAGGTCATGAAGTTCAAAAAATATTTGAAAAATAAAAAAATATGTGGTTATTATTTAATTTTTTTTTATGAAAAATGAATATTTTATTATTAATGAGTATTCACTGTGCATGTATGTGAAATATCGTACAATCAATTTTATGATATATATTACCTAGTTAGATTACATAGACCAATGCTAGACGTATACTAAATTGTACTATTTCCGTTTCGGAGTATTTGTCCAGTTTTGACTTTTTTCAGTAAATCGGTTTTAATATTTGACCTATAAGTAAAATAAATATATATATTGTATATAATTAGATAAAAAAATATTTTGAAAATATTCTAGATAATAAATCTAATAAAAAATTTTGGATCAATATTCAATATCATTTTATTTAATTTGAGGTCAAAATTTACCAATTAAGACCGAAAAAGTCAAAAGTGAACAAATATTTCGGGAGGGAATACATTAACTTGTACATGACTCTTTTACCACCCTGTATTTTTTATTTGCTCCTCAATTATTTTATTCACAACAAAAAGTAAGTAGTGGAAAAATTAGTGTACAAGATCAGAGTAAGAAGTGTCAAGGAGGTAGATCAAAATTTGATTTCTGACAACTGCGCTGAGAGATAACTATAATAAGCATAATGTGTCTATAAGTAGCAGATACATATTAAATCTAATTTATTTCTTATTAGTAACTGTTCTATCGAAAGTGGGAGAGCCTCTGAGATGAAACTCGTACTTTTATAGTTTTGTCTACCCAAACTTTTTGCAGCAATAATGCACACATGATAGCAATGTGATGTTGACCTTTGGCGAGTAAACAAAAGGCTTAGCTTTTTTTTCTCTACAAAAACCTCTGGATGCTATAGCCCATCCCATGGACCACTTTTTTACACACGTGTGTGTCTTCCAACCAACTCACCAAACTGTGTGACCACTCACATCAACCTCCGATCTCACCTTCTTAACCATTGCCTTACCACCCAAAAAAATGCCCCATTATATTGACCCAATTTTTTTATTTGTTAATTCATTTTATTTAAAAATTAGTAAAAAATAAAAAATAAAGCTTCTATATTTAAAATTTATGTTAATAATTTTATAAAACCGGAGATGATGATGATATTTTATTTTATCAAATAATTAATAAAAACATAAAAATAAATAAAAATTCTCGTAATTTTTGAATAACTAAGTGTGACATTCTTTGGAACGCAAGAAGTATTTAAAAAAACCTGAAAGTACATTTAAATCTAAAGTTTTAATTGGGCTAGTGTCATGGTAATTAATGTATCAAAGTTTTAATAACTTTGGTCATGTGTTCAAACGCAAACACACTCAATTAAAAAAACACCAATGTTCAAATGACATTGAACCTTAATGTCATAGGATGACCCGGGGCCGCTCCGGTGCTCCGTTCCTAAAATTGACGGTTCCTACCCCCCCTAATAGTACTAAATCATTTAGATATAATATTTTTAAACAAGATTGATTTTTTTCATCTTGAATCAAAACCGAACTAAGATTATATGAGACGAGATCGTGATACAAAAAATTAAAATTAATTATCACGGATTGAATCGTTCAAAGCTATCTATAGAGTACGTCAAACTTATTTGTCTACTATACCTTACCAAATATGGAGTACTTTGTATTGTACTCCATTTTTTAAAATCTTTTTTACATTTATTATTGTTGTCATTATAATTATACTATAACTACTATGAGCATTTTTTTTAGAGTTTTTAATATTTAGTTCTATATTGTATGAATGAAAGAAATTCGTTATTTTTAAAATTTGGATTCATCGTCTTTTAATCTTCGTGTTTCTGATCTTTTAAAATTCGAAATCTTCACCTTTTAGTATTGTGTTTTTTATACAAAAATATACTTCTATTTTTATATTATTTGAGTAATGCATGTTTAAGTTTTTGACACGCTTTGAACCTCATATATATATATATATATATATATATATATATATATATATATATATATATAAACACACATACATACACTCCAAGTATATACTTCCTCCGTTCGGAAATGATATTTCCATTTGACTTTTCTCTGTCAAAGTTTGTAAATATCACCTTCGATATGTTGAAAAAATACATTGTATTTTGATAATTTTAATATCAATATATTCTTATTGAAACGTAGTTTTTAAATATCAAGTGTTTATAGAATATATCTATATATAAATATAAATATTAATAGAAGACCGTGAAAAATCAAATGTGAGGAGTATTTCGGGATAGAGAGAGTATTTATTATGACTATTTATGTTACACGGAAAAATAAAAAATAATTTCTTATTTTTTGATAATTTATTTTTTCTCAAACAATGAAAATCAAACTAAGTACTCGGTAATGTTTTTGGGCCAAACTAGTTGTTGGTGTGTTGTGATCTAAGTCCCTACGCATTTATTACAGTATTATATTATCATTATCATCATCATTATCATTATTATATTCTCTGATCTCCCAAATAATTATTTAATTTTGAACAATGTGCAATATATAATCTTTTTAAATTAATTTTATTTACAAATTAGTATTGAAAAAAGTTATGAGTATATTTTAAGCATGTGGCCATAAAAAAGAAGTGATGACAAAAATAAAATATTTTATCAAATCGTCAATCAAAACACATTCGCAAATAAAACTAATCGAGAGTATTTTTATTAAGAGAAAAAAACCTTGACGTTAACAAACTACCTACCTAATTAATCAAAGGGGTCCAACGAAAGACTTAGAAAAATTGGATTTGAAGAAGCAAAGGCCGCATGTATATATATATATATATATATATATATATATATATATATATATATATATATGTATATATATCCCCCACACTCTACTGGCCGCCGGCCTCCCATGGGTCCGTCCATCCCATTCTGTTTGAGACAATGAATCTATCACAAATTTTCTTTATGCAATTATTAATTAAGAATCTTTTTGGGAATAACGTTCGAGATTAGTGTTAGCATTTTGAAAAGACTATCTATGTTCAGCGTAGCGTTTTCAAAATAATCTGCAAAGTTGAAATTTTTATTCAAAATTCTAACGCTAATCTCTAACGTTATTCACAAACATTCCCTAAATTGTATTCCAAAATATCCAAACCCTATATTATTATTATTATTATTATTATTATTATTATTATGATTATTATTATTATTATTATTATTATTATTATATATTGTCATCGTCATCATCGGTTAATAATTAAGACACGAATATACTTATAATTGTAGACTCCACCAAAAAAGTATTATGCGTTAATTATAGTACTCCTCTAACATGTCCCTTTTGAAACATGGCTACACGAAAAGTTCTTACACAACCTTTTGCACTAATTAACACAGATGATAATTGAAGGATTGTTTACCTGGGTTAGATAAATTAAATGGGGAATTTACTTAAGTTTAGGGAATACTCCTTATAACTCATGAGCATAAAACAGTGCAAATATTTCAAAATATTTAGGGATTAAACATTGAGGAATTTACTTAAATAGCACTAAAACATAATGACTTTCCCTAAATAGCACCACATGTGTTTTTCTTTCCAATGTAGCACTTTTAGTCATTATGCATTAGTCATTATTCAAATAAATATTTGTCATCACTGGACATTATGGACATTATTAAGTACTATTTAAGGAATAAAACAATTTAAGTGTTATTTAGAGAAATGACTTAAGTTTTAGTGCTATTTAGTGCAAATATTTCTTAAACATTACGTTTAAGTGCTATTTAGGGAAATGACTTAAATTTTAGTGTTATTTAGTGCAAATATTTCAAATTAAATTAGATCACACCATAATATTTGTATCAAAAAATAATTTTAATACTCCGTTTATTACATAGTATAAAAATTATTATTTTTGCTAACAAACATTTTAAGAAATACTCCATATAACTGAGCTGGTCAAACATATCATCGAATACTGAACTTGGATCAGATAATTAAAAAGAACGGAGAGTTACAAAAAAAATGGAGAGAGCTGAGTAACATTTAATCATAAAGGTGCAGAATACAAATTTCTACTTATGAGAAAGAAAAAAACAGTGATGGGGTAGCTCACTACAGGGAGAAGGAGGCATTCATATATATCACTCTCTCTGTCACTATTCACATGGTCAAATTTTAATCACTTTGTTAATCTATTTCTTTAATTATTTGATAAAATAATATAATCATGTTATCTGATCTTTTGTTTTATAGAACTTTTGATGTAGTTTAAAAATATATAATTTTTATTTTTTTAGCTAACACATGTATATATAATTAAATACATTGAATTGAAAATAGTTTCAATCAAACTTCGTAAACCGAACTGAGAATAACATTTTAGGATAGAATTGAATGAGTAACACTAGATTCACAAAACAAATTATTATTATTATTATTATTGTTGTTGTTGTTAGAATATAAATAACTGTTCTTGGGTCACAACCACAAACTTGAGCTTTTGGTTGAGTTAATTTCTTGACATGGTATCAGAGCCTTGATGACCAAGAGGTCACGAGTTCAAAATTCACCGCCATCCAGTTTTAAAAAAATTAAGGTTTCACGTGTTAGGCTCGAAAAAGACTACGTCTGCACGTGAGGGGGCGTGTTAAAATATAAATAACTGTTTTTGGGTCAAAACCCCAAGCTTGAGCTTTTGGTTGAGTTGGTTTCTTGACAATTATTATTATTATTATTATTATTATTATTATTATTATTATTATTATTATTATTATTATTATTATTATTATTATTATTATTATTATTGGCAAAAGATAGGGACCAGCTGCACCATTTCCGAGCTAATTAAGTTATCAGATTACAACCCATTGTACAGCTTATTTGTTTGTGTCTGAAATGGACCCGCCAAGCCATGCCAAATTTTAATTATTTTATTCAAAATCATGCAGGTTTCACCAGTTCACTAGCTAGAAAAAATATACCGAGTAATTAATATATTGCGCATAATAAATCTAGTCAATTACACTAAAATATCTATATACTTCATCAACTCCTTCCAAAAGATAGAAAACATCATTTGATTCACATTATGAGTTTATTGAATTTATTTTTAATTTTGACGTATTTTAAAAGCGATGTAAGAAAGAAAAGTAAAACCTATACATTAAAAAAAGTTTAGTCCTATTTTTAATTATTAGTTTTTTCTTTTTACTTCATCCTAAAATAATCATACTCCGTATTATATTGTTTCTATGTTTTTCTAATATATATTCGGTAAAAATCATATGGTGCACCATCATTGTCTTTGTTCTAGGTACGGATATGAAAGGAGGTACGAAGGGTTTGGGGAAAGGGTAAAATGGGGATGCATTATTTATTTATTTATTTATTTATTTATTTACGAGGGGTAGCCTCACATAGTCACTTGGTCCGTCCTGAGTGTTTGTCCACTTTTGACTTTTGAAACTGTTCATGTAAGCACTTTGACTTATCAAATTCTCTCAATGTGTAAGCCTAAAAATAGTCATGTATGATCTTGTTTGATTTATCTTAACATATAGATTATTAATATATAATTTTTATAATTTTTTAATATACAAATTAAAAGATAAAATGGATTAAAAAAATGCATTGGATGGTGTGCAAAAATGAAAGTGGACAAACACTCCGGAAGGGAGAGAGTAACATTATATCGAGCTAGCCATATATGGCACATATAATAATGCACACACCACAAGATCGAGGATAAGTAGTGACAAATCCGAGGACAATTATTAAACCATAGAGAAAAACAATTTCAAGATTATGACGATGATAATGAAAGATATCCATACTAGAAGAGTCGCAAAGCGAGAAGAGCCACCGCAACCGCCGCCGCCGACTTATAATAACACAAGTACACCTCGAGGCAGCGTGGCGTCGCCGCCGCTTTCGTCGTGCTCTTCCTCTCCCTCCCACGACGACTTCTCCTTCACCATATCCCTCCATCCATCCTCCGCCGAGATCCCCGCGGCCGACGGACCCAAAACCAAACCCTCCACGCCATCGTTCACCGCCGCCGCCGACTTATCTCCGGCGGACGATATATTCTTGCACGGCCACTTGCTCCCCCTCCGCCTCTTGTCCCACCTCCCAATCTCCCCCCGCTCCTCCACCAACTCAGTTGACAGTTTTACCCTTCCCATCATAAAGAATAACTTCCAAAACTCCACAACTACTACTACCCATTTAGCACCCCAAAAAGACACTAAGCCATCCAATAAAGACTCAAAACCCAAATCTCCCTTCTCCTTTTTCCGCTTGTCAAAGCGGAAAAAGGAGATTCCCCTTAAGAACAAGACAGACCGGTCAAAAACCGATCCGACCGTTCTTAAGGGGCTCAGTCATTCGTATTTAGACAAGGAAGAAAAAGACGACTACGACAAGGAGAAACAATGGAAGAAGCTTAAATTTGAGATAGCCCACGCCGTGAAAAGGTACGTGAGGATGATGAAACCCCTCTTGTCGTCCTTCAAGAGCGGTGGCGGCGGCGGCGGCGGTGGCCGGAGAAAAGTGGAAGTTGACCGGAAGGCGCATTCGTTTTCCTCCGGGACGATAAGAGTGACGAGATCGAGCCGGAGCGATAACAATATCATCAACAAAAGATCGGCGGCGGCGTTCGGGGGCGGGCGGGGGTTGGGAGCAGGGGAGTACTCTGCACCGGCATCCACCAGAACATCGCCAACAAACAGCGGCCTCTTGGTGGCGCCGCCTCGTCCGCCGCCTTCAGAGAGCACGATGGAGGAGCTGCAAGCCGCCATCCAAGCTGCCATTGCTCATTGCAAGAAATCCATTGCGGTTGAGGAAGGAGAAGACCAGAGGAAATCCAATGCTACTGTTGCTTGAATCTTTCTTTGGATTATCTGTTAAGTGGGCCCTGTTGATTTTTCTATATTAGTGTATAATGCTATAAATGAGATGTTTGTTCATACAATCTACCTAGCTAGCCAATTAATGGTTTTTCATATTTTTTTGGAATATTTAGTTATTGGCTTCTTTAAGTCCCGTTTGGCATGATAGTGTTAGGATTTTGAAAAGATTATCCGACGGTAGCATTTAGCATTTGCATTTATAAAAATAATCCACATCATTAAAATTTGATTTAAAACACTAACGCTAATTGAAAACGCAATTCCCAAACAAGGCCTTGTTTTGATTCGTGAACGTATTATCGGAAGGATCATAATTAATTGTGTATTACTCCGTAATTTGATTTTTTTATAGTTATTTTGACAAATAAAATTATTGAGTTTGGACGGTATTGGACAAATCTCAGATTCTTGTTCAATAGCATGCATATAAGAAAAGTGTTTTGGTTTGCCAAATACAACGGATTACGGAGTACTTAATTACAAGGATTATCAAATAGAGAAAACATGTTCAAGATTACAACGGATTACGGAGTACTTAATTGTTTGTTTTAGGAGAGTGTATTCAATTTGGATTTTAAAAGACTTTGAGAAATTGTTTAGAATCTATGGATTTTGTAATTTCATTAGATTCTTTTAAGTTTACGTAGAGTTAGCTAGATTCTAATGTATTTTAGCATAGGATTTTATAGGATTATGTTTTTTTTCCTTTTTTTTCTTTTCTGTTTTTCTTTTTCTTTTTCTTTTCTTTTTTTTCCTCCACCCTAGCTAGCCACTTCTTCCGATCCAACTCAGTTCTTTCTGCTTTTTTTCTTTTCTTTTTTCTTTTTCTTTTCTTTTCTTTTTTTCCTCCTCCCCAAGAACCCTAGCAACTTCTTCCCATCCATCTCAGTAATTTCTGTTTTTTTCTTTTCTTTTTTCTTTTCTTTTCTTTTTGTTCCTTTTTCCTCCAAAAACTTCATCTAAAATCAGTTTGTGAACAAGTTCTCATTACCTGTGTAAATCCACAAACCTTTCCCCAAATTATTCCCCCACTGGATCGGTGACAATGGGATTCGAGAAAGACAGAGCGAGAATCCGAAGAATCTGAGAGATTGTTGACCCTGGGATTCGAGAAAGACGAAGTGAGTTCGTCCTCACATGTTCTCCACATACCCAGAGAAGACACTGTGCTGTTCTCGTTGGATCAAGTATGAAGGAGACAACCCTGCAGCGTGGAATTGCAAAAGAGACGATGATGAAGAAGAAGACATCAGAGGTTGAGGGAGAGACGGACGGTCGGACTTAGGAGGAAGGATGAAGGACGGAAGGAGTTTTTAGAATCTTGGACTTTTGGATGAGATTTGAGAATGAATTTATATTTATACCTAATGCTACAAAATCCATCAAAATCCACCTTTTTAAAAATCTTTAAAAAGTTATCAACTTTTTGAATACCATCATATTTAGAAAGATTTTTTAAAATCGCAATTGAATACACCCAGATTTTAAATAACTTTTTTAAATCTGAATTGAATACCTACAGATTTTTAGAATCCTAAAAAATCCATCAGAATCTGAATTGAATACACCCCCTTAGTATCACATCTACAATTACTCCAAGCATTTAAGGATACTAGAAGACCATCCATCCATAGACCATAAGTAACATATGAATAGGGTAAATGTCACAAATATTATACTTCCTCTGTCCCTTTAAGTTCTTCTCTTATTGACTTTTTGAGAATTTAAATAAATGATATTTTTGTATTGATTATCCAAAAATAAATTTGATCTGATGGCCATGATGGATAAAAGTAAGATGTAATAGCTATATTATTAATAAAAAGGTATGGTGCGATAAGCAGGCCGGGTAAGAATTATTAGGAGTAAAAGTAGTTTTTAATATAAAAAATTGAAAAAGTTTGTGGAACAAGGAAAAAAAGGTGAAAAAATTTTAAGAGACCGAGGAAGTATGACTTCAAACATTACTCCATACTCGTATTTTATTTCAGTACAAAATTTTTCACAGGGTCAAAAAAATTACTTACCCCTCAATCCAAAAAAAATCTTTTCCTTCACTATTTACAGATTCAAATTTTATTCACTTTATTTGTATATTTTTATTATCAATTTGATAAAATAGAATAGCCATATCATATCTAGTTTCGTGGATCTTTGTATGTAGTTTAAAATATGTAATTTTGATTTTTAATTTTATAACATTTTGAATTTTACAACGTTTTTCATTACATTTATAACGTTTAGGATAATTTCTTACAATCCGAACCCGAAAAACGTGAAGGAGATCTCACATTTATCGTTCCAACATAGGGGACAGTGTTCCCCTTCACTTCCCTTCACGCATAGCGCACCTCATAGCCTTATGGGTGAAAGAAGTTTTAAACTAATCCCCATAAAAATGGCAAAATATGACCTAAAATTAAATGAAAGTGATATTTGAAAGGATATTGATACACATTTTTTTATTTGATTTATAATATAAAATATTTTTAAAATATTGTTTTATTTAATTAATATACAATATATGGAATATATTTTATTTAATTATATGTTAATGTTGAAATAATTAACTACAAAAACTCAAAATTAGAGCATCAACAATGGCAAGGCGAAAATAGAATGCCACACGGTGATATGGAACATTTTAACCAATAAAAAATAGTCCAGTTAGCGTGTGGCAAATGAATAGAGTGACAAGTCCTATAATGGCAAGTCATTATTTTTTTATCACTTTTTTACATTTTTTTATGTTTTTTAAACATAAAAAATATTTTTATTATTTATTTTATTAAAAAATTATTCTACTTTCTTGTACATTTTCTTCAAAAAAATTTTAAAAAAATTATTTTAAAAAAAATAAAAAAAGAAAGATGAAGTGCCTCACTCATGCCTCACAAGGCAAGGCATTTTGGCCTTGCTATGCCATGATATGAGTGGAAGAAGATGACGTGGCAGTGCAAGACATCCCTTTTACTTGTCGTTGCACATGCTCTTATACAAATAATTAAATACAGAAATAATACTAAAATTTCGTAGAGTATATCATTCATAAATTTACTCATAAAACTTGTCATCGGAAAAAAGGGATTGGGACAATTTGGAGGACATTAGTCTGTGTCTTTAAAACGTGGGGTACCCGACAAAGTTATACTGATGCATCAACCAGCCGAACCGGTGGTGTACGGACCGGAGCAACTTGGGCATATGACATTATATTGACATGGAACCATGATGAATTATACTTCCACGTTTTTAAATTCTATTCTTGTATTCTTTTTTTGACTTGATTTTTTTCTTTTGCACTAATTTTAAATAAAAAATAGTGTGGCTGAGATTTTTTTCTTTTTCAATAATCAATTTCCTTAAAATGATTTTGTTAGATAAATTATATCGACGCAATTCATTTTAAATAACCCCAGTAATTATGTAATTATTCTGATAGAATTTAAGATATGGTAGAGACCACTAGACTGAGTCATAAGTTACTTAGGTTAAACCACATTAAAAAATTGAATCTAATCGTTAATTCAACTAAGAGCTTATATATCAATTTATTTTTTTTCAGATTATGATATATGGGTTACTCTTTAACATATTTTATCCTTTTCTGAATATTCAAAATGTATTTCTTATTTACATTATTTCTATAGTTCTAAGCATGTAACCCACGAGATTTCTTTTTCTCATACAAATTTTTTTTAACATTATATATTTTTCATAAAATAGTTAAATCTTATGAGCGACTCTCTCTGTAAGTCTGTAACACAATAGATCACATGATATTATTTTATAGAGCAATGCTAGGGGTACATCTTTGGTGTACTCCATTTGTCCCTCACCCCCTTCTCCACCACATATTTTTATTTCATTTTTAATTAATTATTTATTTTTAAGTTTTTTACCCATTTATGTGGTGAAGGAGGGGATGAAGACAAATGGGGTACACCTTTGGTGTAACCCTAACATTTTTCTATTTTATATAATGATAGATGAATTTATTTTTAATAATTTCATCATGTAAATAACAATTGTAAAAAACCGAGTGCGATGGAGGGAATACATTTTTTTTGTTTTTAAAGTTCTACTTAAATTTCATAAAAAAACTAATTTGAGTACTCCAAAATGCTTAGGAACAAGGGGCATACAATGCGGGCAAGGCATGATTGGGCTTGATAAATAGAGGCCCAACTGAAATTATTTCCACTAGATAGATCGGCCTCATCAAATGAAGGCTCGACAAAGACTAAATGTTAGGCAATTTCATTGGAGGATTCGGGAGGGCTCTGGTGCTATGTTCGTAAAGTTAATGGTCCTACCTTCTGATCTTTCTAGTAAATCCTCCCACCCCACCCTTTCCCCTCCCCCGAACACACCTTCACATCCTTCAATTACACTTCCAAGTAAATTTTGACTTTGGAATTGAAGGTGGTGGGGATGTGTTTAAGTCGGGTCGGGGTAGAGGCCAGATTAGGGCAATAGAAACTGTCAGTTTTACAAATGAGACACCAAAACACTACTTGCTCATTTCATTACATTACCGAGTAATGTCATGGTACTGCTCAATACTCTATACTAGACTACTAAGAGGGTGTTTGTGAGTGTGAAAAAATAATAGATGTGCTAAATCAGAAGTAGAGAACAGTTACTACAAGCTTTGGTGAAAATCACTTCTGGAGCATAATTTACACTTGTGAAATCACAATTCACAATCTAATAAAGTTGATCAGATAACACTTAAAAATGTGTATCAATGAAGTAAATATTCGAAAACTATTTTGAAACAAACTCCCACATACCCTCTAAGTATTGATTCTATTTCTGAGTATTTTTCTTGTTATAAATTTTTTTACGATTAATCAAAACTGATATTATGCATAAAATTTTACGAGATAAATTAATAAATTTTACCTATTCATGTTTTATACGGAGTATAAATTTTCTTAGTGAATGGTCAAACTTTATTAATTTCAATTGCACATAGTCTAATTTGAACAAATACTCAAGGAAAAAAAAGTACGGAGTAAGAAATACTCCAAATATAGGGTTGGGTGTAGGTTTAAATCTAAAAACGTAATTTTACCCATTAAAATTGGATTGCTGGATTTATGGGTTTATTATATTGTTGCTTTAAACACTTGCTATTTAGAGAATAAAACAATTTAATTAGGTGCTAATATTTACAAAAGTGACTTAAGTTTTAGTTCTATTTAATGCAAATATTTCTATTAAGTACGAAGTAATTAATTGTCCTACTCCATTATATACCGGTCAAACTTCATTTTTGTTATTTAGTTTTTTTAAATCATTTTTTTGTGTTATTAGCTTATTTTCATTATGTGCATATTTATGTTAAAATAATATAGTCATATTGCTATACTCCCTCCGTCCCATAAAGATGTGTACGTTTTGACTAAAGTAGAAATTAAGAGAGGGATATTTTGGTGTTGACTTTCCAAAAATACCCTTGATATGATGGGTAAAAGTGTGATGTGATGTGTAGATTATTAGGAAAAAGGTATGATGTGATAGGTAGGGTTTGAAAAAGTGATGGATAAAAGTGGCTTTTTAATAGAAATGGGTAAGGGATTGTGTGGCGCAATTTTTTTGAAACGAGTAAATTTTTTTGGGACGGAGGGAGTATGTTGTACCTTAAGCTTATTTAAACTAATTGATTGATGTGAAAATAAACTCAGTAAAAACTAAAAAGGAGTACTACCCCTCACAAAAATAAATAAAAAAAAAATCACAATATACTCCAATATTTATGTATTACGCAATACAAATAGATAGAAACAAGTGAAATTTGCACTAAATAGGACTAAAACATAATGACTTTCCTAATGTAGGACTTAAACTTTTTTATTCCCTAAATAGGACTTAATAATGACCTTGTGAAGGAATAATGTCCAGTAATGATAGACAATTACTTGAATAATGACTATCTTATAATGACCAAAAGTCCTACATTGAGAAATAAAAACATATAGTCCTATATTGGGAAAGTCATTATGTTTTAGTCCTATTTATATAAATTACTCTAGAAACAAATTAATAGAAACTCCCAATATATGCAATGTACGAGTAACAAATAACACGAATCAACATTTTTATGAACATATTCCTCCTCATCATCAGCATACCTATGATGGAAATTATTTATTTTCTTAATATTTGTGCATAACAAACTCTGAAGATATTTTGATCTGTATGTTTGTCACGCATGCATGTACGTGCATATATGAAAGCCATATATTTCATGCATGCAGCAAATTAATACTCCGTATTATATATATATATATATATATATATATATATATATATATATATATATATATATATATATATATATGTATGTATGGAAGAAATGATTAATAGGTGACGATGCGGACATTCAAGTGGTTCTGGGCGAAATCGGCGAGCTTGGCGAGTTCGTCGGCGTCGATGAAGCCGTCGCCGTTCTGGTCGGCGGCCTTCATGCCCTGGCGGCCGCGCAGCCACGAGAAGCGGACGCCGGCGGCCTGGATCGCCTCCTGCAGCTCGCTCCGGTCGATCCTCCCGTCTTCGTCTTCGTCGAAACTCTTCACCCATTTCTTGAACTCTTCCAAAGTCATGTCCATTTTCCCGTTGCACGGCGCGCTCCGGGCGTAGCTCTTAATCGCCATCTGATTGCAGTAATGAATTAATACTTTGGGGCAAAAACAAATAAAGATCGATGATGTGATTAGCACACAGAAATTAATTGGAGGGTAGTAATGGAATTGAAGTATATATAATTATGGGCTTAATTAAGTTGATGGGTTTATATATATAGAAGCCAGAAGCCGATTAGGCGTGGGGAATATTAGAGTCTACAGTAGAAGGATTCTTTTTCTTGGACGCAAGAAGCTAGGTCTTATTTGGCAAGAATATTACTTCCTCGTCTCATACAAAAATTTCAAAGATAAAAAAAAGACACACCTTAAAAATATTTAATTTTGAAATTATTGTATAAATTTGCTCTTACCTTATAATAAGATGGTATTAGATGTGTAAGATTGATGTGTCATAATTAAAAAATAAAATAGAACATATCGAAATAATTCATTTTTAGGTGACATTTTTTTTTGTTTTTGAAAAATTTTATTGGAGGAAATATTTGGATGCATGGATATGATGCATATATTCATGTCAGCTTTCCAATACATTTCTTTGACTTTTCGATGTGGAGGAATAAGAATCAAATATGTACCCATTAAAAGCAAATCTTACTACAAATTGATAGGTATATAACGACCAATTCAAGTACCCCCTCGGGTCCCGAAAAAAGCTTCCTAATTGACTTTTTGGAAAATTAAGAGAGATTTATTTTGGTATTGAATTTCCAAAAATATCCTTGATATGATAGATAAAAGTAAGAGTTGATGGATAGATTATTAGTAAAAATGTATGATGTGATAGGTAGGGTATGAAAAATTAAGGGGTAAAATGGTTTTTTAATAGATAAGGGAAGAGTTTGTGGGACAAAGAAAAAATGAAAAGGGAAGATGTTTCAGGGACGAAGAGAGTATATCTTTACTGGCTATATACGTATATAACAAAAGAATATCACAGTTTGACATTATATATTATAGTCAAATTGTGTTATATATATCTTGAGTACAAATAAAAATAAATATAATTTTTTATAAATAAATATAAAATTTTTAAAAAATCTAAATGTGGATACATCTTTCTCTCTTGGAAATACACCTACCGTCCCATAAATAAGTTCCCACTAGACTTTTCTTAGTCAAACATTTAATTTTTTTACTCTGGAGTATAATTTATGAAAGAAGTACTACCTCCGTTCCTTTAAACCCTTCCACTTTTGATTTTGGACAAAAGTAACGAATGTATAATTTTGGTTGACTTTCCAATTTTATCCCTGATGTGATGGGTAAAAGTAAGATATGATAGTTTGGTTATTAGTGAAAAAATATGATGTGATAGGTAGGGTATGAAAAAGTAAGGATAAAAGTGGATTTTTTAATAGAAAGTGGAAGTATTTTAGGGAATTCAAAAAAAAAACGAAAAGGGAAGGGTTTTGTGGAACGGAAGGAGTATATATTACGAAGTATTTTGTAATATAAAAAAAATTAATATTAATGAATTTATTTTGAAGAAATAATGAAAAAAGTAATGAGAACCTATTTCCCGGAGGTAGAGAGTAAATTTCAACCCACATCTTTCAATTTGCAACCAATACCGAGTATATTTTATTCTTCTATACTTAAAATAATTTGACTTAAGTTAACATTGGATAGAGTGTGTAAGCTAAGTTTTGGGTCTTCGTTAGGATTTGAATTGTTACAAAGGTGTTATAATTTCAAAAAAGTGTTATCACGATTCACAATAGCGTTACATTTTTGAATTTTTTTAAAACAATTGTTGTACATTTTTTATAACTGCAAAAAAATCAAAGCGGCACAATTTTCATTTTTTAAAATTTATCAAACTTTTACTTTGTCAAATTTTTTAAAGTTGTCAGCAATTTTATTTTTTTGAACTTGTACCATACTAATTTTTTCACTGCTTTAATTAAATTCATTACAATGCATTACTAGTTCCTACATTATCAACTTATTAATGATGATGAGAATGGGTGTAGTTTACCATGAATCTTAAGGAGTGAGCTGCTAACTACGAGCGAAAGAAAAACTTTGTACGGTTCTATTTTTAAAAAATTTAATTTAAAATTTTAAAATATTAAAAAAAAATCCAAAAAATAAATTTATCTGAAATATTAACACATTTCATTTAGTTATGCAAAATAAGCATTTACTATCTAGAATCCTTAGGCAAGCATTAGGGTTCTAATTAACGACGACCCAAAATCACACACCCAAAGTTTGGCTTAAAACTTATCATAGTGACTAGTGAGAGATGTGATTGTTTTTTAAAGACCGCATAAAATTGGAATTATTTCAGCTAATTTTTTCCAACTATAAATTATTCCTTTAGGAAAACTTTAACCACATTTTTTGCATATTTCCACTACCCATTTGGAAAATCAATATAATCTTTCCATCTCTTATTTTGTAAAAGTTTTCATGTACTTTTTGAATATTTAAATTTCATTTTTAATTCAATATCAATTTTGAAATATTTTGAATTGAAAATAACTTCAGTCACCAATAGGCTGAGCTTCCTCTACATGATGACCCACGGCCATGAAGAATATCTTTTTATATATATATATTTTATAGGATAATCTTTAATAAAATAGGATGCAAATTTAGATGTATGCTATCGGAAATCTAAGACAGAATATTTTTGTCGCTTGAGTTGCACTCCATGCCGCCTATCGACAATAGGGAAGAAAAGTTCACCGCCTTTATCCCAAAAGAAATCTAAATTTTGTATCACAATAAAACCTACCAAATAATGGCCTTGTTTGGACACCGGCAGTTGGCAGTTGGCAGTTGGCTGTTTATGATAGCTGGTTTGAATGACTGATTGAGTTAGCTGTTTTGACCGGCTGTTTCTGTTAGCAGTTAAATTTTATGTGTTTGACAACTTTAGCTGTTTATATTTAGCTATTTGTAAGTAAAATTACATAAAAGGACATCCCTCCATTTATGGTATATTTTATTTTACAATTTTTTTAAATATCATATCATAAATATATTTTTTTTAAAATAAAAAAAAATTAAATAAAAAATTATATATATATATATATATATACACACACACACACACACACACACACACATACATAGACACACACATGATATTTATTATTAATTTTTTACATGAAAAAATTAAATCTTTACTATATAGAGTATTAAATTTTAATTTCATTTAATTCATAATAAATTATAAATATAAATTTTTTAATGATTTATAAATATAAAAAATTTTTTAATTTCATTTTATTTTTTTCGTATTTAATTTTTTTAACCTATATTTTTATTTTTATTCTTTACATATATTATAAAATGTCTTTCAACAAAAATGATTTAAAAAAAATTATTTTTCCTAACCGCCAAGTCCAAATGCTACTCCCCTTGGCATTTCAGATTTTGGCTTTTCGGATCAAAATGCCAAGTGAAAAAGTCATTAGCCAAACAATGGTTTTGGCGGTTCGCTTGGTCAAAAAAGTCAAAGTCAGTCAAATATGCCAAAAGCTATCCCAAATGTTGTTTTCCAAACACAGCCAATAAGTAGTACTTCCTCCGTCTCAACTTATAGTGCATGTTGACTATTCACAGAGTCAAATTTCATTCACTTTCTTTATCTATTTTTGTTACCAATTTGATAAAATAAAGTATTATTATTACTACTAGTTTTGATAATCTTTTGATATAGTATTTTAAATATAATTTTTTTTAAAAAAATCTATACCATTTGTTATAGAAAGAGCTTTGAAAATAAATTCAGTCAAATGTCTTAAGTTGAAACAGGCACTATAAATTGGGATGAAGGGAGTACTATGTAGTATTAGAGCATTTACAGTGGCGTGTTTGGAGAGATGCCACGCTGTCAGATCAGCAAGGAGAAGGAGGTTGCCATGCGTGGATAGAGCATTCCCCCTCTATTTGCAAGTCATGACGGTGTCAATGTGTTCCCATTTATTTTTTTATTTTTTTTAAAAAAAAAGATTTTTTAAAGGAATACATCTTTTTTTATGAAAATAGGATAAGTAAAATAATTTTTTAATAATTAAAAACGTTTAAAAAGTTTAAAAACTGACAAAAATATTGATTTTTAAATAAAATGATATTTAATTTGCATCGTAATTTTAAAATAATAATCTAAATTGAAATGAAGGAATAAATAAAAATATGGAGTAGATAACAAAAAATTTTTTTAAAAATATATATAAAAAATTATTTATTTGAGTAAATAGAAATATTTTCATGATAAAAATATATAAGTAAAATAATTTTTAATAATTCAAATATGGCAAAAATATGAAAAAAGGGATGAAAACAATGACTTGCCATTGCAAGTCATGCCACTCCACTCGTGTGCCACTCGTTGACTAGACTATCTTTTATTGGTTGAAATGCTCCACGTCAGCGTGTGGCATTCCATTTTTGCCTCACCATTGTTCATGCTCTTAGACTATTAGTATTGTGAAATGTCTGCAATTTAACATTATATGTTAACATTTTACGATATTTTTTGGCATTATATTTTAATTTATTGTTTTAAAGTACACCATGTTGTTATGATATACTCTATGCTCGTTAATTTTCGCCTTTTGAAAAATCTAAAATTTTAAGAAATGCTCCCTCCATCTCAGTTTACATGACTTGTTTTGATTTATGATGTTTAATTGAAATTATTTTTAATATTAGGCAATTGAGGTGAAATATAAAAATAAATTATATACATTGAAAAACTGCTCTCCATCCCAAAAGAAAGACTCCTTATTTCTTTTTTAGGACATCCAAAAAACAACTCATCTTTCTTTTTATGAAAACCTTTGAGTGACTCACAATTTTTCTATATATTCTTTGCATCACTTGCAATCACACATTGTCATTTTACTTAAACTTTTTGACAAGTCAAATTGAAAGCCTTTTTTCAAACAAAGAGAGTATATCAAAAACACTACTATAAAACAAGTAGTGAGATTACTATTTTATTTTATAAGATAACTAACAAAAATAAATAAATTGAATAATATTTGACCTTGCAAATAGTGAATACACTATTTAATTTGGAACAAATGGAGTAAGTTTTAAATGTCAAATAATTCTTCCAAATGAGTTTGTTATCTATTCATGTCGACAATATCCATACACTC